AGGAAAGGGATGAGGTCAATAGTAGAAAGTCTAAGGTTAAAGTTTTTGGGGTTTGGGGAAGAAACCACAGAGTCAGGTAGAGTATTCCAGACATTGACCACTCTGTTGCTGAAGTCGTATTTCCTGCAATCAAGTTTGTTGCAATTAACCTTGAGTTTGTATCTATTGTTTGCTCTTGTATTGTTATGGTTGAAGCTGAAGTATTCATTGACAGGTAAGACATTGCAATGTATAATTTTATATACTATACTTAGATCGGACAGAAGGCGGTGTAATTCTAGGTTTTCTAGGTCTAGAATTTCAAGTCTGGTGGCATAAGGTATTCTGCAACGAGTAGAGGAGTGGAGAGCTCTTCTTGTGAAATATTTCTGGACTTTCTCAACTGTGTTAATATCGGATACGTAATCTGGGTTCCAGACTGATGAGTTATATTCGAGTATTGGTCTAGCAAATGTTTTGTATGCTCTAGTTAGTAGTGTGATATTACCAGAGAAAAAGCTACACAGGATTAGGTTAACAACTCTTAACGCCTTTTTGGCTCTGTAATTACAGTGGGCTCTAGTGCTTAGATCATTAGAGATGAGTACTCCAAGGTCCTTGACAGAATTTGGATCATCAACAAGGTCTTTTGGTAGTTTCAATCAGTTTATGTAAGGAAGCAGAAGCTGGTGTCAGGCACAAAAACAACACAGCAAAATCCAAACAAGTCCAATCCTTTCTGTGCTTACATCTAATGGACAGAATCTTGCCAAATTGAAACTTTTAAACTGACCAGATATATCCCGAGAGATTCTATGGTGTGGCTATCCTGAACCTCTTCCCACTTCCCCCACCTGCACACGGCTGTGCAGTTACTGAACGTGGGTGTTTCTGTGGAATATATCCTCTTCTCCCTGGAAAAGCTCTGTGCTGTCAAGACTCCCTACGCTGCTTCTTCAGGTGCACAATCCATCACAGTTGGGCCCTCAATATAGAGAAAGTACTGTACAGAGGTGGCCTTGAAAAGGGAGTTTAGTGATTACTTATCCTGTTTCCCTCAAAATACAACCTACCCTGAAAGTAAGTCCTAGCTTGATTTTTACACATGCGCCCAATATATAAGCCCTACCCCGCAAAATGCCCTAATTAACATCCTGCCCACTCCAGAGGGCACGGGTAAAAATTAAGCTAGGGTGGAGATGGGGGGTGGAGCTGCCCTACTACTTACCTTTGGACAGTTGTAACCAGGCCTCGCATACCCCTACATCTGCCTTGCCGGCCCATTTCTTCTGCAGGCAGCAAGGCTTTTCCTAAAGTCCTCTGTTGCTGATAACAGAGCTCCAGATCGATCTGAAACTCCTGCATAGGCCTTCAGGAAAGCCTTGCCCACCGCAGAAGAAGAAGTTCCTGAAGGCCTCTGACAGCAAAAAGGAGGCCGGGGGTAATGCGCGCAAGTGACGTTAGTCAGTGGATGACATCCCCCCAAAATAAGACCTGGTGCCTTTTTTGGTGGCAAAAAAATATAAAGCAAGGTCTTATTTTCAGGGAAACACAGTATGTAAACATCCATTTAACCTGGATAGACAGGAGAGAATGAAGAAAAAAACTCAAGATTGCCCCACTTCGATTGTCTTTCGTATAAGGGAGGAAAGGGAGAATATTAGACTTTCAAAATTGTGCTATAATAGCCTGAACTAATAGAGTTTCAGTAGTTCATAAGCTCAATCCTTTCTCTATATCGTTTAGCAATTTTTAGCATTTTCATGGAGATGTAGGGAGAGATCTTCTGATACCCCAGAGATTGGTACATCAATATATTGCTGATATCCAACTATGCATCCTCAACCTGGGACAAGTGTGTAATGCAGTGAAAGTCTCTACTCCAGTTGAAAAGATCTGGAAGGGGAGAGGTGAAGTATAAATAATGAAATAAATAAATAAAAATGGCTAAAAGTTTTTTAAAGGAGGAGGAAGAGACAAAATTAATCCTCCAAAATGTGAGGAAATGTAGAAAATCCTAGTTTCACATAATATATTATAACCCTGGACATTTTCTAGCTTTGTGAAATTCAGGATGGCCTTTACTATCTCCAAAAATATTACCTGTTGTCCCACACCACCAAAAAAAGTTGTCCCTTCTGTTAAACAGATATCTCCATAAGTAATCTCATACTCACTTTCCCTAATAATATTTCTGATGTCCTGGTTTCCAAAAAACCATCTAATAGTTGGTGGTGGTATTCCTTTAACCAGGCAGCTGAATTCTACATTTTGGCCCTCATGAACTTCCTTCACAAGATCCATTGTGTCCACAAATGTAGGTTTCTCTGTGGATCAAAGGCAGAGATTAGAAAACAAAAAGCAGTGAAAGAATTACTACGGATGGTCTACCTCAACAAGATGCATCACCTTAAGACAGTCCATCATTTCGGGATGCAATAAAGACCATTAAGCCACTGTGAACTGACACCCTATTTTGAAAGTGTTCCTTTATGTTCTGTGTGACACCTAGACTTCAGTAAGTGTTCAAAAAGTGAATGACTTTTCTGAACAGTGAGAATGAAAACTTGGAAGTAAAGAAGAAAGTAAACTTCCTTGAGTAGATAAGAAACCATTAAAGAGTCTTCTTTTCTAATTAGGGGGAAAAAAGTCACCGTTATTACATCAGTCATGTGATATGAGGCATGGTGGTGCAGTGGTTAGAAGGCGGTACTGCAGGCTACTTCTGCTGACTGCCGGCTGCCTGCAATTTGGCAGTTAGAATCTCACTGGGCTCAAGGTTGACTCAACCTTCCAACCTTCCGAGGTCAGTAAAATGAAGACGCAGATTGTTTGGGGGGGTAATATGCTGACTCTGTAAACTGTTTAGAGAGGGCTGTAAAGCACTGTGAAGTGGTATATAAGTCTGCTATTGTTATTATAGCAACCATCTTGATTTTGTTTCAACCCCACTCCCAATGGGTGCCCTAGTGTTTGCACAACATTCTAAATCAAATCAATGCATTTCATTTAATTGTATTACTGTCACGAAACAAGTAATACTGTATTAAAGATGCACACATTCAATCCTTATTGCTTATTTGTTTGATATACTACCTGATTCAAACAATTCTTAAAAGGAAAGAAATGAAATAAAACATGAGAACTGAATTCAAAATGAAGAAGAAAGTTTTGGGACAACCCACTAACTATATTTACCACTGAGCAATCTGTAACCTTTGAAAGTAACACAAAACTTAATCACTTTATATAACGAGTTGATTTTTTTTATAGACTAAAACAAAAAAATGCATAAAAGTTGGCAGGGGTTGCCAACAATTTAGCTAAGAAGATGACACTGGGGGCGGCCCACATTTGCTGTAGGAAAAGAAATACAGAAAGAGGTGAGGTAAAAAATGTCCTTGAACCTCCTTGAAACTTGAATCTCCAAGGTCTGATGTGGTTTTCTTCCTTGGCATGCTCTGGAAATCATCATCATCGTTTAATGAGCACATAAACCCTTGCGGGGGTCTAGTCTGGGCAACTGAATGGAGGTGAGTGTTTTAATGGCCGGGTGCCCTTCCTGTCACCAATGCAGACTTTTTTTCAGCAGATATATTCTCAGTGTGACCAGAGAGAGAAATATCTGTTTCTACCTAGGATCGAACTCATAGCCTCCACCTCTAGGCCACCACACCACTCCTTGGCATGTTCTAGAAATACATCAAAATAAAAATGCTTTTAATATGTTCTGGGGTTCTAGAGAAGTTAAGACATTGGAGTCCATGGGTGAGGCCGATTTTGAAAGCACAATTAATGGACTGTGCTGCATGTTGCTGCTTTTTTTTAGCTTTGCTCTCTCCACCATTTTGTCCACTGCCCCATTTTGGTTCTCAGTTACTAATCAATTTTGGGTTTCATTCTGCAGATGTATTCGATATTCCACTGAAACCTCTTCCTGGATGCTCAAATAACTATTACTTACGGATCACGTGGATTTCAATTCGTTCAGTAGCGGTCTTTCCTAATTCAAATTCTCCGTTACACCTGAAAATCCCACCCTGATCTGGGCGAGTGAGGGTCATCTGCATCTCCTTGGATGTTTCATCAATCGCCTTCACCCAGTAAGGCTTTGAATCCTCTTCAATTTCATTCCCATCCGGATCAACCCAAGTCAGAGCGGCTTCGCCACTTCCTCTCACTGTTAAGTAGGAAAGTTGAGAAAGGGAACCGTTAACATAGCCTCGGGGGGAGGCGAAGGTCATATTGCTTCGTTTTACTTCAAGAAGATACTTGGCCTTCCCTCAAAGCTATGGAGGTTTGTCCCGGTGCTTCCAAAAGAACATATTTCTGCACCTGTAGAAGCAGAGGAGACCTCAGAAGGAAGACAAAAAGAAGGAATGTTGGCCTCCCAACAAGCAATCACTTTCCAAAGCAGTTTCAAGAATCCCTCTGTTGGGGTGATAAAAGGGAAAAAGAAGCCATGGGGGGGACAGCAGAAAGAAGTGACCAGATGGGCATAATTGAGAGCAGGCAAAGCAGAACCCCTTTGTGCCATGGAACTGTCTTGCCTGGAGTCCTTGCTACAAGTTTATATTTACAAGTAAATTAAATCATACATTGCAATGTCCTACCTGTCAATGAATACTTCAGCTTCAACCATAACAACACAAGAGCACACAATAGATACAAACTCAAAGTTAACCGCACCAAACTTGATTGCAGGAAATACGACTTCAGCAATAGAGTGGTCAATGTCTGGAATACTCTACCCGACTCTGTAGTTTCTTCCCCAAACCCCAAAAACTTTAACCTTAGACTGTCTACTATTGACCTCACCCCTTTCCTAAGAGGTCTGTAGGGGGCGTGCATAAGCGCACCAACGTGCCTACCGTCCCTGTCCTATTGTTTCTCTTATTCTTCTTTTATTTTTCTTATATGTACCCATTTCATGTATTCACAACTATGTATACACTTATACTTATTATCTTGTAAACAATTGGCAAATCAAATAAATAAATAAATAAAGTTGGTGCTTCAGAGGCGCATTCTTCTCCAACAGTTCAGACTCAAAGTTTCAGAGGAAGGACATTATTCTGCTTTGTGGAAATGCCTTAAAAATGAGCAAAAAGATAATTCCACATGTCCACAGGCCAGGAAATAGGATACTTTTTTTTTTCTTTATAGACCTGCATCAAAGGGCACTTCAATGTAATGTTATATTCAGGGGTGGGATTCAAATTTTTAACAACTGGTTCTGTGGGCATGGCTAAATTGGTGGGCGTGGCTAAGTTGTGGGCATGGCTTGGTGATCATGTTTTTGGCTGGGCATGGCCAACTCAATACCACTCACATCGAGGCATGCATCTCCTCGCCTGGCCTGTGGGGATGCTGCAACAGTCGTAAGTGTGAAAAACGGTCATAAGTCACTTTTTTCAGTGCCATTGTAACTTTGAATGGTCACTCCACACAAGCAAAGTACCAGCAAAGGAGGAAAAAAAACTCCAGAGAAGTTCCTGAGACAGGAAGTCTAGTCCTGCTAAGAATGTAATAACGGTTAACAAAGAGGCACTTTCTGTAAGCAACACCAGAATGTTTCCTTCCTGCCTTCCTTACAGGATTAGGCCAGTAATTTGTTTTAACAACCGGTTCTCTGAACTGCTTAGAATGTTAACAACTGGTTTTAGTGAATAGGTGCAAACTGGTAGAATCCCAACCCTGGTTATATTGATTATAATATGGAATTGGCTGAATGGCAAAAGCTGTGGACCATCAATAGGAAAATAACATTGGCCATGGCATACAAGGAAAACCTTTATAAGATGTTTTACAGGTGGCATCTTCTACCAGCAAGGCTTTCCAAAATGTTCAAAAGTCTATCTCCAAATTGTTGGAAGTGCAAAGATGTATCAGGCACATTATTTCACCTGTGGTGGACCTGCAATGCTGCAAAAGAGTGTTGGAGACTGATCCAGACATGGGTGGAACAAAGGGTGGGAGAGTATATCCCATTTAAGCCGGAATTTTTTTCTCCTAGGAATAATACCAGAAGGATATAGGAAGGACTTAAGTTATCTAATAGTATATGTGTTGAAGGTGTGCACAATACTGGAAGAAGGAAACTGCCAGAAACAGAGATAATAAGGAAAATTATGGCCTGTGTAGAATTGGACAGGTTAACTCTAGAATTAAAAAACTAGGTGGAATCTAAGTGCTACGAAACATGAAATAAATTCTATCAATGGTTGCATAGAAGAAGGCAAGGTTGAAACATAAGTAGCTATGATGATTAGAATAAAGTAAACAATGTATCAAACAAGAGTATTGTAAATGGTAAAGGAACATTTATATATGTATAACAATTGTAATGCCAGAATGGCTGCACCGTACTGTATTCTTATAATTTTTTTAAAAAGGGCACTTCGTTGAATCACACTTGAAGCCAAGCATCCATTCATGGATACACACAGCTTTAATATGTATCAGATTAACCTTTCAGTAAATTTAGGTTCCTTTAAGTCAAGGACAATTTCTTGGACTTACTTCGGGTAATTTTTCATTTTTGATTTCCCAGTCTAGACTACAAACCCGGGATCCAACTACTAATAGGTTCCAACTTTGCTTAGCGTGTTTGAGATCAGTCAAATTCACCTACATGCTGTCACTAGCTTGGCATAATGACCTTGTGGAAATATCCATATTGCTTAATAGGCAACAAATAGACTTAGTTTACCATTGTCTTTGGGGGGATTTTTTTAAAACTTCCCAATCTGTTTTACAGCTCTCGGATCCCTATCCAAGAACTAACCAGGCCTGCTGCTATATAGCTTCCAACTCATTTTGGCAAAACTTTGTTGTAAAGATGAGTGTTAAACCTATTATTAAAAATAATAAACTTTTCAAAACAAGAAAATAACCCTAATGCATGTTTGGAGACTTGAAGAATCAGAGCTCTTACAGCCTTCACACCAGTTAACAATTCTGTTTTTTAATCACACTTGATCCTTTTTTTAACCTCAAGTTATTTACAGCTTGGTGAGGAAGTAATTTACTGTCTAAAGACCAACTGAATACAATTCTCTTTTGTCTCTTTACTAAATCACTTCAAACAATGTCGGCCACAGTCAATGTTTGGATAGACATGTAAATGCGTGGACAACTTCTGGGAAAGTCTAGACAGGAACCACTATTACAGGTATAATTTTCACCTGGCCGTCGGGCTCCAAAAAATCCCAACAACCCACCAGTTTGAAACTCCACATAGGATTAAGTCACGGGGAACTTTCCAGGAATTATGACATCCTAAGCACTTTGCTCCATCTTTCCATAGCAATTTTAAACTTTAAACTAAAACTGTTGGTTGTTCAAATCTGTGCTAGAGGAAATTTTGATCTTCTGGTGCTGTATAATATCAATCCACATCAGCTTCAGCCAATGTGGCCAATATCAAAAATAAGAGAGCAGGAGACTTGTAACTCTTGAAAGCCTCCAGATTTCCATTAATAATTTTCCATTCAAATAATATTTTAAACTTATAAGTTGGAGGGGAGGGATGGGGGAGGAAAGAAGCAGCCTGGGAAAAGATGTTGAGACTCTAGAAAGAGTGCAGAGAAAAGCAACAAAGATTATGAGACTAAAACATATGAAAAAAGATTACAGGAACTGGACATGGCTAGTCTAGAGAAGAGAAGGACCAGGGGAGACAGGATAGCAGTCTTCCAATGTATTTTCCAAAGCACCCGAAGCCCAGAAAAGGAATAATGGATGGAAACTGAACAAGGAGAGATTCAACCTGGAAATAAGGAGAAATTTTCTGACCGTGAGAACAATCAACCAAGATGTGGGAGCTTCATCACTGGAAGCTTTCAAGAAGAGACTGGACAACCACTTCCCAAAAATGGAATAGGGTCTCTTGCTTGAGAAGGAGGTTGAACAAGAGCAGGGGTCTTCAAACTTGAGAGCTTTAAGACTTGTGGACTTCAACTCTCAGAATTCCTCCTCCAGTCATGTTAGCTCAGGAATTCTGGGAGTTGAAGTCCACAAGTCTTAAATTTGCCAAGTTCGAAGACCCTTGAACTAGAGCCAACCTCCTGCTCAAGGTTGAACTATGAGAATGGTTGCAGGAACCAGGTATGTCTAGTTTAAAGAAAAGACTAGGTAAGACAGGATAGCAGTGTTCCGATATCTCAGGGGCTGCCACAAAGAAGAGGGAGTCAAGCTATTCTCCAAAACTCCTGAAGACAGGACAAGAAGCAATGAGTGGAAACTAATCAAGGAGAGAGCAACTTAGAACTAAGGAGAAATTTCAGTTAGAACAATGAATCAGTGGAATAACTTGCCTCCAGAAGTTGTGAATGCTCCAATACTGGAAGTTTTTAAAAAGATGTTGGATAACCATTTGTCTGAAGTGGTGTAGGGTTTCTTGCCTAAGCAGAGAATTGGACTAGAAGACCTCCAAGGTCCCTTCCAACTCTGTTATTCTATTCTAAGGTCTTGCCTTGGACAGTCTTGGTTTAAGTAGAACAATGTGATTCAGTTTTATTCAAGGATCTTTTCTCTCTTTATCTGACCAATATACAGATGTTATAGGACAAATTGTTCATTTGGGTTACAATGCATAAGCTGAGCTCCCCCAATCCATCTTCTCTCCTCACCGGGTAAAACACTGCCCTGATGACCCTTTTATACATGTAGAGATCATTTTTCTGCACTTACCTTTGCATATAAAAGATGTTTGTGTGTTCAATTCCACATTCCCATTTATAGGAATAATCTCCAGAGATTCTGAGGCACCTTGTACAGCCCCTTGGGAGAAAGAAAAAAATATGTATCCATGAAAAACTTCCATAAAAATCTTATTTTTCTGATAATAATGAGCAAAACCATTTCAATAAATTAGACAATATTTTCTTCTAAAGATATCCAAAGGACTGCAATTGAAGACCACACTTGGCAGTAAAGTAACTTTGTAGGATCTCTACTCCATAAAGCAGGTAGGGACATACAGAGAAGTGGATAAGAGCCAGGATTCAACAGAAATTGGACTTAAACGAAAAACTGTTCACGTAATTATCAAATTCAATGTAGAGTAATTCTACACAATCACTTTTAAAAGTACAGCTCAGCAATTATTCCTGAGGACTATACCAAGCTTTCAGAGATCCAGGTGTTCTGGAGGCATGATGTTTTGCAGCTGGTTATAAACTGTAATTGGCAATCTCTACTAAGCAAACTTTGCAACCAAGCAATCATTTGGGGGTAACAATAAAAAAACTGGATTATCCCTGGATTTTTGTTACTGGGAATACTACCCATACTTTCAATCTATTATTATTAGCCAATTTTTAATATGAGAAAAAGAAATGAAAACATTTATCTATGTATGGTAGCCCCTATGGCTTGGAATGTACTCTAGTGTGACCAGATGTAAATGTCCTTCTAACTTTGCACAATATTTACATGTGTCTTTTTTGATATTTTGAAGTCAAAATATATTTTATCAGGTATTGCAGAATGCTCTATATGCCAACACAAAAATACCTACAGGATTATAGGTTTAATGTGGAAACTTCTCCTACAGAAATTGCATTCCACAGAAATGACTATTTTTGAATCAATATGCTTTAGGGGAGGAAAGGGGAAACAAAAATGGGGAACAGGCTAATAAATCTGATAAGCAATGGGAAATAGATTTATTTTTCGAAATCCAGTTATTGCATCTTTAAAGGTAGCACACCCTGTATTAACTATGGCTTCTCTCTAAACCAAGGGTCTTCAAACTTGGCAAGAACTCCCAGAAGTTCTGAGCTAACATGATTGGAGGAGGAATTCTGGGAGTTTAAGTCCACAAGTCTTAAAGCTGTCAAGTTTGAAGAGCCCTGATCTAAACACTTGGGAATTACCCTGATTACAGTAGATTCTGATGCCAACATTTGTGTTCTCCAGAGTTACTTTTTTCTCCAGAAAAATAGTTTAGTTGGCCAGAAGTATCTGACTGTCCCAGGATGCCCTAGCTGCTATGTATGAATCCAGACAAGAAGATCCAAAGATTCAGAGATATATCAACCCCCTCAACAACTGTCTGTAGAGATTCTCAGTCATCCAGGTCACGGTTGTCCCAAAGGTGCTTTTTCAGGAGACAACTGGACTTTCTTGTTTTTTCTCTGAAGACATTTCAGTTCTCATCCATGAAGCTTCTTCAGCACTGACAGGATAGTGGGGAATAAAAGGACTTATATTCCTTACAGACAGCTGGTCATCTGTAGAGATTCTAAATCATCCAGGTCATGGTTGTCCTAAAATTGCAGACTACAGGAACCAGGAGCACCACTCAGGTGACTCTGAGGACCCAGATAAACCTCCAAGTGCTTCAACAACCCTCTAAAAGGATGCAAATGACCAGCTGTCTGCAAGGAATATAAATCCTTCCATTCCCCACTATCCTGTCAGAGCTGAAGAAGCTTCTTGGATGAGAAGTGAAACAAGAAAGTCCAGTTGCCTCCTGAAAAAGCACCTTTTGGACTCCTCAACAAACTTTAAGCAAACTCTCTTAAGAATAGAAGTTTTTTGTTGTTGTTTTTTAAAAAGAGTGAACATAACAAACCTGGAACCACAGAAAAATGATACTGCTGGATGAAGAAGTTGCAGGTATATTCCACACAGCTACTCTTTTGACTGCACAACCTCCTTGTGTCTTTCCATCCATCTTCTTTTCCCTTGATATAATCAGAAGGGTTGTACTACAGCTCCCATCACCTTTCCAGGCAACATGGAGTTTGTTGCTTGAGGGATATAGGAGTTATAGTTCAAGCACATCTGCCAGGAACCTGGTCTAGACAGGCTGCCTTGGGTTAGTTAGTCAACTGAGAATGAAATAGATTCAGACCCCTTTCTCCAAGCACTGAGGTGCTAGATTTTAGAGGTGCCCTTACCAAAATGCCTGTCTGCTCCTCCTTCAAAATTCTTGGTCTTATGCATCTTACCTGCTGCAAAAATGAAAACGAGAAAATGTTCTGCCCCCATCTCAGAGGGGAACAGGATTCAGAATTGGACTTCTTCCTTGGCACCAGCAATCTGGAAGGATTCCTGTACCCTGGGAACTTTATAAAGAGACCCTCCTCCCCGTCTGTCTCCCCTCCTCCCTGTTCTGTGTCTCAGTGTCTGCAGGGGAGGAAAAGGAAAGAGGAAATTAAATTGGGAGGGGGGGAAAAGACAGAGGAAAGGAAGGTCTATACATCTGTGTGTCTATGGATGGGTGTGTCTATCCATGGGTGTATTTGTGTCATGGGCGTGTGCCTGTTGTATACTCCTTGCTTGTGCATTTATTTACTTCTCATATGCATTTGCACACGTTTTTGATCATCTTTTGGGTAACTGCATACTAGAGCTCAACAGGCCAGCTTTTCTCTTTGATTGATGTCCATACAGTGTCTCCATTAATAAAGACATTGTACAGATTGGTTCAATTTATATAGCTGCCTATCTCACATACATCTCCCTAAGTCACTTACATAGTTTTTTTTAAGTACAAAAACAATCAAAATCATAACAACAAAAGACCGTTGAAACAATAAAAAAGCATTAAAACCATTTTTTTTTTAAACTGCAGTGTAATCAATCTTTGTGGGCTCCACAGCACCATATAATAAAATAACCCTCCCACCCTGGCGACAACATATCACATGAGCCATTTAATAGGCTCCATCCCGCTCTGGGTTCCCCAGGCCCGTTGGCAGAACCAGGTCTTCAGCACCTTGTGGAAGAGTATTAGAGGGGGGCCGTCCTAATCTCTGGGGGGAATGATGTTCCAGAGAGAGGGAGCCACCATGGAGAAGGCCCTTCTTCTGGGTCCCATCAGGTGTATCTCTCTAGGGGATGGGACCGCAACATTCCTTGCCTCCCCGCTCTGGTGGGTTGGGTAGATGTGACCGGCAAGAGATGGTCCCTCAGATAACCTGATCCCAAGCCATGAAGGGCTTTAAAGGTGACGACTGGCACCTTGAATTGCACCCGGAAGCAAATCAGCAACCAGTGCAGCTCCTGCAGGAGAGGGGATACATAAAAAAACAGATGATGCTCCCTGGCTGATGGAACCTGGAGCATGCACCTCCTGCTGATCTGATACGACTGGTAGATGTGGTAGGGGAGAGGTGGTCTCACAAATAACCCAGCCTGATACCATGTATGGATTTATAGGTCACTTCCAGCACCTTGAATTGGGCCCAGAAGCAGGGGTGGGATTCTACTGGTTCAGGCCGGTTCTATAGAACCGGTTGTTATGATTCTGCGCAGTTTGGAGAGCCGGCAAATCATGCCCCTGGCTGACCCTGTCCCTCTCTGCTTGCCCTCTTTTCCCCACCCAGTCAGTCCTTATCATGCATGTGCGAAATCGCACGCGTGCCCAACATCGCTGACTGCATTCTCCCCCAGTCTGCCCAGTCAATCCTTAAGGTATTTCTTTTTTTTTCCTGCTCGACGATCAGCTGTTCCAATCAGCTGCACCGCGATCCCCCTCGCTGTCTTACTGCTTCACCCAGGAGGCTTCCCTGAGGCCCAGGAGGCAAAAAGGGGCGGGGGGAACTGAGCCCTCCCCATGCTCCATTTTTTGCCTTCCTGGGCCCCAGGGAAGCTTCCTGGGAGCAAAAATGCCCCCCCCCCCCGAAGGCTTCCCTGAGGCCCAGGAGGCAAAAAAAATGAGGGGGTGCTGCAAAAAGAAGAAGAAGCCACGCCCACCCGGTCACATGGCCACACCCAACTAGCAAGCCCACAGAACTGGTTGTTAAACAATTTAAATCCCGCCCCTGCCCAGAAGCAAATAGGCAGTTCATGCAGCCTATTAGCCAAGATGTAATGCCAGTGATCTAGGTATAGGCATAACTACCCTTGCCACTGCTTTTTTAGCAACTGAAGCTTCTGCATGCTCTTCAAAGGCAGCCCCACGTAGAGCACATTATGGTAATTTATGTGGGAAGTGACCAGGGCATGAATGTCTGAGAGTAGACCTTCCCTATCCAGGAATGGGTACAACTGACGCACAGTCCAAAGTTGCACAAAGGACCTCCTAACCACATCTGTCACCTCCTCATTGAGCAGATTTTGTGATTCCAAAAAGGACCTCCAGATTTTGCACCAGACTACCTGGTATAGTGCCACCCCATCAAGAACCAACCAATCCAGATAAATCACTTCATCCAAAATTCTCTCCAACTACATTGAAGCCACCTTCTCTACAACCTTCTCGAAAAGGAAAAAAAAATTGGATGCTGGATGAGAATCGTCCAGTTCAACAGGATCTTGTAATGACTTCTTGAAGAGACACGCTTCTTTAAGAGACAGAGGAACCACTCCCTCTCTCAAGGAAGAATTTACCACTGCCAAAACCCAACCGTGCATCACCTCCCAGGAGGGACTTCACCACCAAGAAAGAACGTAGCTCTAATAAACAGGTGGCCAACCTCATAATTATGAGAACCTCAGACCCTCTAGACCAAGGGTCTTCAAACTTGGCAAATTTAAGACTTGTGGACTTCAACTCCCATAATTCCTGAGGTAACTTGACCGGAGGAAGAATTCTGGGAGTTGAAGTCCACAAGTCTTAAAAGCTGTCACATATACAACAAGGGCAGAGAAGTACTGATGCTTCACTATCCTTACTACCATAAGGTAGGTCTTAATAGCAGCTGTATTCAGCTGAGTTCATTCTTCACTGGTTTCTAGCAATACTCCATGGTTCTCTTAATCTACTTCATCTCCCTCAACTCTTCCATAAACCATGGAGAATGGCAGGAACCACCAGAGGAGAAAGGCCACAAAGGCATGATATACATTAAGCTGCAACAAACCTCTCTGTACATGTTTGTTTGTTTTTGAAGGCAGGACACAGTCATAGATATCATCTGACCCCCTTCCACTTGGATCAGGACTGTCAAACTCCTGTGGCCCATGGGCCAGATGTGTCACGTGCTGGCCACGCCCATGCCTGGTTTAACGAAGTGGGGGGAAATCCTGATATGTCACATGACACCACCATGATAGCAATAGCAATAGCACATAGACTTATATACCTCTTTACACTGCTTTACAGCCCTCTTTAAGCAGTTTACAGAGTCAGCCTCTTTCCCCCAACAATCTGGGTCCTCATTTTACTGACCTCGGAAGGATGGAAGGCTGAGTCAACCTTGAGCCTGGTGGGATTCGAACAGCCGATAGTCAGCAAAAGTGACCTACAGTACTGCACTATAACCCCTGCGCCACAGAGGTTCTTCATGATGATGACGTGAGTTTGACACCCTTGACTTGGATGTTCCTGCAAACAGTTGAATTATAGCACAGCAAGAGGTTCGTTTCTCCCTCCCTTAGTCTGAACAAGGATTTATTACCTGAGTGAGACACACACCATACTAAATCATGGCATAGCCATCATGAAGCCAAACCACCCCCCCACCCCGAACACAATGAGCTCAAGGCGTTTTATTCTTTTATTATTATTTTCCTTTTTCCGAAATAAGGATGGAAAATGGAGTTGGAGGTTCTCAGAGGCAAATTTATTTCCATTTCCACAAAAAAAAAGCGCCTTCAAATCCTACAAAACAGTCCCAAAGCATGGTACTGAAAGTTGCTATTTAAAACATTTGTCCACTGCCTCTCACTTTATTTATATATTGATAAATTATTTGATCATTTGTTTAGTAACGGCATGGATTTTCTCCAGAAGGATGTGTCCCAGCCTGGTGTTTCAGGATTTCCAACAGTACAGCCATTGTCCAGTGGTGGGATTCAATTTTTTTTACTATCGGTTCTGTGGGCGTGGCTTGGTGAGCGTGGCATGGCTTGGTGCGCGTGGCAGGGGAAGGACACTGTAAAATCTCCATTCCCACCCCACTCCAGGGGGGAAGGTTACTGCAAAATCCCCATTCCCTCCCCACCAGAAATGATATTTAGCAGAATCTGACCAGTTCTGGAGAACCGGTAGAGGAAATTTTGAGTAGTTCAGAGAACCGGCAAATACCAGCTCTGACTGGCCCTGCCCCCATCTCTTCTCTGCCTCCCATTGAGTCCCAGCTGATCGTCTGGGTCTTCTTTGGTTGCCCTGCACAGGAGAATGGAGCTGGAAAGCAGGTTAGTGGGGTGAGTAGGGAATGGGGATTTTGCAACAACCTTCCCCAGCCAGGCCCACCAAGCCACACCTACAGAATCGGTAGTAAAAACATTTGAATCCCACCACTGCTCTTCTTTTATTGCCCTGCACGGGAGAACGGAGCTGAAAAGCAGGTTAGTGAGGCGGGAAGGGAAGGGAGATTTTACAGTATCCTTCCCCTGCCATGCCCACCAAGCCATGCCCACCAAGCCACACCATACCCCAAGCCACGCCCACAGAACTGGTGGTAAAAAAATTTAAATCCCACCACTGCTCCCCACCCCACTAACCTGCTTTCCAGCTCCGTTCTCTTGTGCAGGACAACCAAAGAAGACCCAGCCGATCAGTTGGGACTCGGGAGGTAGAGAATAGATGGGGGCAGAGCCAGTCAGAGGCGGTATTTGCCGGTTCTCTGAACCACTCAAAATTTCCGCTTCCGGTTGTCCATAACCGGTCAGAACCTGCTGAATACCACCTCTGCCATTGTCCCTTGGTTAATGGGTTGGTTCAATCAGTATAGAGCTGGAAGGGACCTTGGAGATCTTCTAGTCCAACCCCTTGCTTAAGCTGGAAGCCTTATATCATTTCAGACAGGTGGCTGTCCAGCCTTTTCTTTAAAACCTCCAGTAATTTTCTTCTCTTTCCTTCTATAGTAGTCCTCAATTTACAACCACCATTGAGCCCAAAATTTCTGTCACTAAGCAAGACATTTGTCAAGTGAATTTTGCCCCATTTTATAATGTTTCTTGCCATGGTTGTTAAGTGAATCACTGCAGGTCTTAATGGTTGTTAAGTGACCATTGACTTGGCCTGTCAGAAGGTTGAAAAAGGCCATCGCATG